GTACCAAGAAAGACCTCTGTGAAAGGGCTTGGAGAGTTGTGATTTTGATGCTGAACCATGTCAATGGCCAAACAGCCTTATTATTATTATTATTATTATTATTATTATTATTATTATTATTTACTACTTACTTACTTACTTAGTTACTTACTTAGTTACTTACTTACTTACTTACTTTTAGTCAGAGTCTCACTATTCAGCCCTGGCTAGCCTAGAGCTCCCTATGAAGACCAGGTTGGCCTCTAACTCACAGGGATCGGCCTGCTTCTGCCTCCATAAGCTACCATACCCAGCAGATTTGCAGTCAAAACAAAGCAAACAAAGAAACAAACAAAAGCTAAAAATCTTATACATAAAAAGAAATGACCTTCAAGGCCCTGGAGAGTTGGTTCAGAGGTTAAGAACACTTGTTGCTCTTGCAGAGGACCTAAGTTCAATTCCCAGCACCTACTTGGTGGCTCACAACCATCTGTAACTCCAGTCCCAGGAGATCTGATGGCTTCTTCTTACCTCCTCGGGCACCAGGCACACATGTGGTGCACATACATACATGCAGACAAAGCCCTCATACACATAAAATTAAAATGACCTTCCCCCACCAAATCAAAATGGGAAAAGCTCATGCTTAATGCACATTGGCTTGGATTGCCCTGCTCTCGTCATGGTGTCTGTAAAGAATTTCTAAACTCTGGCCCTGCTCCTGGGTTATCTGATGACTAAGATCCAAAGGCAGAAAGGAGGTGACCAAAGCTCCATCCAGGGGCCTCCTGCCTTCTGGGAAGGAGAGAACTGGTGCTCGATGTGCGGAGGTACTAGAAGTATGTTCCGAGAAGGCTTCAGAACGCTTCATCAGACCTTGGGCCATGCTGCTGCACATCCAGGGGAAGGGCAGAGCCTAGGCTACAGAGAAACGGTTTTTCAGGTGTGTGGGGGCATGGGGGGTTAAGAAGGAGGAGAAGGGGCTGAGCAGACTCCCCACTACGGCCCTGCTTGCCTTGCAGGCCTGTGGTCTCCAAGACCTAGATTTCCAGTGAGTAGCTAAGACCTCGCCTTTCACCAGAGAGCTCTTTCATCCTATTTTAGTGACTGTGGGAGTCGGTCTCACTGTATGTGCAGGCCGGATTCAGTGTGCCAGGTTGCCACCTCTGGCCTAGGCACTGAAGAGCATGACGAATCTGGGTCCCAGCTGGGCCAAAGGGAGAGACCATGGGCCTGTGAGGACCTGTGTGTGGGGGACAGGCCTGAGGTTGGTCTCTGCAGGTTGCCCTCTCCTGGGCCAGGAGCTAAAAGCCCAGTCTCTATATAGACCCCATGCTGGGTGGCTTTGTGAATTGGTTCTATCTGTGACACCAGCACCCCCTTGTGGACAATATGGGAAGGGCCTCATACTTAAAGACAAGTGATACCTGCAAATCTACCAAGTGATGGGAGCTGCGGGTAACCTGCCATTCCTAGTGAGACAGAAGCGGTGTCGTTAGTGAGCAAAGCCTTGAAGGGACAACAAGGTGGCAATAATGAGGTAGGGGGGAAGGGAGGTTAGGTGGGCTTTGTCACACTCTTCTCTCTGACAGTCAATTCTGGTGGCTCAAGCCTATGGTTACCACCTCCAGAAAGGCCCTCAAAGCCCACAGTGCATGAGCGGCCAGTCTTTTATCTGGAAACTTCCAACCCTAGGCCTTCAGGCCTCCTGAGAAATCAGGCAGGTGGTTGTTCAGTCAGTGTTTGTGGCTGAACTTATCCCACTTTCCAGGGCCACGCTCACTTATGGGGTTTATTAAAGTCCGTTGTGCTGTGTGCTCTGTTTTGAGTATCTCCTCCTCTGCTGAAAAGAAAAAAAAAAATCACTTCCCATCCCTTTATTTTTGGAAAAAGTCAAGGTCAACTTCCACAGTCTCCAAAGCGTCACAGACATTCCAACGAGTGTTTTCTTCTATTATTCCCATGCTCTGAGAAAACCCCTCAGGTCTCAGCCCAGCTCGTGCCACAGTTGAGCCCGGTTCCTGACCCACCTCCTATTCACATGCAGGCCTGTGTGCTTTGTCTCCAAAGAGAACTTCTTAAGTCACACAGCCTGGGAGGGCTTCACGGGGCTTCCTGAAGGCCGGGTGCAGGCCTCACACATGTGCTGACCAGGGACACTCGACTCGAACTGGTGCTTTGGACCCTCATATCCACTGCAAATATATATACCTGCTGGTTGTTTTTGTTTGTTTGTTTGTTTGTTTTTTGAGACAGGGTTTTTCTATGTAGCCCTGGCTGTCCTGGAACTCACTTTACAGACCAGGCTGGCCTCAAACTCAGAGATTCACCCGCCTCTGCCTCCCGAGTGCTGGGATTAAAGGTGTGTGCCACCACTGCTTGGCTTATTTATTATTATTATTATTATTATACTTATCTTTATTTGTGTGTATATGTGTCTGCATGTATGTATGTATGTATGTATGAATGAGCACCATGTGTGCAGTGCCTGCAGAGGCCAGAAGAGGGCGTTGTATCCCCAGAACAGTTGTGAGCCTCCCAATTTGGGTGCAAATGACTGAACCTGATCCTTCTTCATGGGAGCAGCAAGCGCTCTTAACTGCTGAGCCATCTCTCCAGCACCCTCAGCAGCATTTTTTGCCATTGTTCACCCCACAGCCCCAGAAGGAAAATACATGGCCTAATATGAAGCTTTGGGACCCCTGCTTCGTGAAAGGATGTTGGGAAGACCACTGCTAAGCGGACTGCAGTTCTTATTTTGCTGCCACCCCTATGTACTCACGAAAGTTTCAGGTCTCTGGAAAGGTTTTTGAAATACAAAAGCAAGCCCTTGTGTAGAAGCACTCACCTTTCATCACGGTACCGGGAGGCAGAGGCAGAGGCAGGCAAAGCTGTGAGTTTGAAGCCAACCTGGTCTACATTGTGAGTTCCAGGACAGTCAGGGATACATAATAAAGGTCCTGATTCAAACACACACACACACACACACACACACACACACACACACACACACACACACACACACAAAACAAAAAAGAAATACAAAAGTGTGGGGCTGAAGAGATGGCTCAGTGGTTGATCGCACTGGTTTCTCTTCCAGAGGACCTGGGTTAGGTTCTCAGCTCACACATGGCTCACAACCATCTGCAACTCCAATTCCAGGGCCCTCTTCTGGCCTCTGTAGGCACTGCGTGTATGTGGTGTAGACAAAACCCCATATACATTAATATAAATTATTTTTTTGTTTGTTTTTTATTTTTCGAGACAGGGTTTCTCCATGTAGTTTTGGTGCCTGTCCTGGATCTCACTCTGTAGACCAGGCTGGCCTTGAACTCACAGAGATCCGCCTGTCTCTGCCTCCCAAGCGCTGGGATTAAAAGCATGCACCACCACCTCCTGGCAATTTTTTTTTTTTAAAGGAAGAATGCAAGAGCACTTGCTGGTAAGACTGGGAGATTCTAGTCTCCACCTTGGTCCTAAGCCTGAGGTTTTCCAGTCGTTAAGCTGCAACAAACTTGTCTGGAGCAGTGGGAGGCTTCCCCAGCAGCTGTGTGGAGTGTTCATGGCCGTGGGTGGTTTCCCAAGAGCTATGCAGAGTGCTGCACTTGCTTTGTTGGCTCTTGTCTCTCTCTAGACACCTGTTGTTCTGAAAGAAAGCCAGCTACGCTACTGGATGGCCCGTGCAGACACAGCACCAGGACCTCTGAGCAGCAGACGGGAGAGGCGAGAGGGGAACTCACCTCACCATGAGTCATGCAGAAGTGAATTCCAAGGATGGTTATGAGTGCTAACAAGACTGTAGAAACCCCCAGATGTCAACAGACCTAAGACCATTATCCCTGCGTATCTCTAGAAAAGAGTATGTGTCAAGGGAAATGGGACAGAAAAGAACTTGGAGCATCCTTGCAGCCACCACACTGTTGTGAGTTTAGTGTGTCTCCACAAAATTCCTGGGTCAAAAACTTAAATTCCCAAATTGATAATTCGTGCTATTTGGAGATGTGGGCCATGAGGAAATTTTGGAATCTAATTAAATCCTGAGTGTAGGGCTCTTCAGGAGGCCCGAACTGGACTGCTTGCTATCTTACCTTGTGGTACCCGACAGCAAAGGCAGCCCTCAGTCAATTGTGAGCACATACTCACAGATTTCCGTTTTCTCTTCTTCAGAACCCAGACTCAAGTCTTTTGTTATAGCAGTGGGATCTGGGCTAGACCACATGTAAATGTAAGTTCTAGACATCAGTAAGGAGCATCTGAACCAGGACTTGTCCAATGACCAGTTTTAATCTTACTGTTTACAACTCAGGTCAGAAAGAAACTGGGAAATAGTCTTCCTTTGAAAGAGGCGGCGATGACAGGGAAAATGAATTCCTATGGTAACATCAAAATAGTTGTTAAGGCTTTGTGTTCTACATGCCTAGCTGGCTTGGAGAGTACCGTGACACCCAAGAGTGGTGAGGACCAGGACCTAGAAATCATATGTGTTAAGGTGATAACTGGCTATGGCATCTGCCAGGCCCTTACCTCACCAGCCTTCACTGGGGCATTTGAGGACTAGGACTCGCATGAGATGCAGAGAGCGTCAGGTTTTGTATGGGAACTTCTAGGAACATGAGGCGAAAGTCACCTGGCTGAGGGTGGTGATCCATGGAGACACCCCAAAATTTGGAGATGGCACTGTGGGCTTCTGGCACCCATACCATAAGACTCACTCATAGCCAAGAGAGTGAGTATTTAGCAAAAGCCAGGGGCTGTCATGGAAACCCAATCTTAACAGGAGTGACTAGGCCACCTCATGAAGAGACTGGGACATTTCTACTTGTATCCGGTTATATTTGTGGTCCAAAGGAGGGCGGGGGTCAACAATTCCCCATTGCAAAGACATGGATGTGGTTTCACTTCTGGCTTATGATTTGTATTTTATATCGTTAACAACTGTTGCCAGCAGAGTTCTGAGTCAGGGCAAGTGTATTCCAGGCTCAGGACCACCAGTCTGGAAATAAATCAGCAATGGCCAGACATTTTAGGTCAAGGTGAGTTTATTGTCCAAATAGCATAACCTAATTGCATTCAAAACCACTTACAACTCCATCCTCAAATCCAACTTCAAACTAGTCAGAAGAACAAGTTATTTTTTTTTAATCACTTAAAACTTAACAGCTGACCATGTCACCACCATCATAGTCAATACAACGTGTTTCCCCCAAATTTCCTACAGACCTTTTTTTTTTCTTCACACTGATCATGCTACTTTAGCATTTTCTAGTATCCCAACCATAAAAACCACCCACACCTGTTATAGAGTACACTGTGAGAGAATAACATTGATTTGATATGGCATCACACTCTTAAAGCAAATTAAAAAAGAAAAAAGAAAAAAATAATCCAAAACAAGAGATCATAACTGATAGATCTGAGGTACACGGCAGAAAGATAATAAACATAATGGAGACAATTCGACGGCCTGGTGACTTGCTGGGGACATACAAGATGATCAGCATAAGAATGACAGCCAGCCGGGTGGTGGTGGCGGCGGCGATGGCGGCGCACGCCTTTGATCCCAGCACTCGGGAGGCAGAGGCAGGTGGATCTCTGTGAGTTTGAGGCCAGCCTGGTCTACAGAGTGAGTTCCAGGGTAGGCTCCAAAGCTACATAAAGAAACTCTGTCTCAGAAAAAAAAAAAAAAATGACAGCCAACGAAAATTAAGAGACCCTTTTAATGTGTTTTTTTTTTTTCTTCTTCTTCTTCTTTTTTTTTTTTTGCAAAGATAGGCACCTGTTGAAATCGAGTGGCTACCGTCACGGCTATGGTCAGTAAGGCACTTCTCCCCCACAAGTGGGCTGCAGGCAAAGTGATGGATCTGCAGCTCCATCAAGTGTGTGTATTTGTTGTTGGCGTCTTAAAACTAGAGCCAAGAATGGGTCTGATAGCCCAGCCAAGTTTAAAAGCAGAGGGGCACAGGTTCTGGCTCCAAGTGCCTCTTCTGTGCTAGAATCATCAAAGGCCACATGGGGTAAGGAAGTCACACCTCCTGGATCTTCCTACCCGATTTAGTACAAATGGATGAGTGTGCTGCAGCTGTTCACACCCCCCACCCCCGGAGTCTGCACCGATAAAAGCCTGTGTGCAATGTGTACCTATGGAGGGGCTTGTTGTCTTAAGGGGACTTCGCTGTCTCGGTATTAATTTCCCTTTTAAAGCTATTCCCAAGGTTGGACTGTCTAAGATAAGCAAAGAGGAATCCTTTGGGCTTCGAAGTCAGCTGGCTTACTTAGACTTCTTATTGCTACCTCCAGTTTCCACACCACCAGTATACCCTCTTGAACTAGACAATCGGTATTTACAGGACATAAAGTACAAGCGTGATCTTCCCAGTCCTGTCCCCATAGCCCATGCAGAGAAAGCTCATCTGCCCTCTTTGTGAAAGCCATCCAATCTTAGTCTGTTGGTACTACAGCTCTCAAGGCACAGATTGGTAGGTCCCCAAAGAGCTAGACTATAAGAAAACTATTACGCTCCCTCTGAGGGGTCGCTTATCTTACTAGTAACAGGATGGGATCCAAGGCAGCTACATATACCCCCAACCTGGCTAGCTGCTAGAGAGGAGTCTGTCTTGGTGGGCACACACCTCAAGGCTGGCTGCCTCTAAGATGTGCCCTGCTCTTCGATGGCATCCTGGGGACAGTTCAAACCAAAGCAACCTCTAAAAGCTGTCCCTTCTAGAAGGAGCTCGCTACTCAGCACTGGCAGATGGTGAGCCTTTATCCTCTCGCAGGCTGCCTGGCTATTAGGAACTGTTCTGAATCTAATGCTTAGCATATTATTTTTGGCATACTAGGGTTCCTCCCCGCTAGGATTTGGTCAAAACAGGGAAGGATCAAAATTTGGCAAGCTGGGGGAACAACTTAGCCCCCACAGGTGGAGAAAGTACAAACAACAATGATGACAAAGAAAAAAAAAAAAACAAAAAACAAAACAAAGAAAAGTTCATTAACAAGGCAGAAAAAGACCAGAGTCTGCAATCCCTTTTGTAGGATGTGAAGGGGACAGGGGGAGCAAGCTGGAATCCACGGGGTGATTTATACCCCTCTGGGACAAAAATACTACTATCAAGGAGACTCAGATCTAAGCAGAGGGTATTGGTCACCAAGGAATCCAGGCTCCCTTTCCTTGTGTGAGCAAAGAGCAGGCAGAAGAGCCACTGTCCACACCTCATCACACAGGCTCCGAGGAGGGCAGACAGGAAGTGTCTTCTCCATCCGAGATTAGAGACTAGAGAGGCAGTCAGTAGCCTGCTTCTTCCCTGGTGCGTCTGCTGCCTTCCTTCTGTGTTTCTGTTAAACTCCAAGGTCATGTGTGCCTTGTGTAACTCATCAGGCACCCCAGTTGCCCAAGAACTCAAGGGACTGTGTCTGTCAGGCTCTTAAAGACCAGAAGAGTGTGCTGTGCAGTGTGAGCGCTGAATAAACACGGGCTAGCTGCAGGCTGCTCCTTTCCCCTCCCATACTTCCCAAGTCATCACCCACCGGCCCCCCACAAACTCCCTAGAATTTTAGGGTCCTGCTAACTCACCGAGTCCTGATCCTTCCTAAATACACTTGAGGCCAGAGGAACAGCCTCTCACTCCCTTTCAACATGCGTCCCAAACTCATTCAACCTGTGCTTCCTATCTGGCCCACTCAATGGGATTTAAAGCCCGAAGCCATTCAATGCCACCAACAGACACCCTGGCCCTGCACAGCACTTGCCTGCCACTGTGGAGGGCACGAGGGAGAAATAAATGTAGGCTGCAGACTCAGCGCCCAAGACTCAGTCCTAGGAAGACTTTGAAGACCATCCTAAGTTGGGGTGTCAGTGCCAAGGAGAAGTAAACTGGTCAACTTTCATGATGAAGGGACCCTGTGAAGAAGAATGTCCTGTTTCTGAATGGGTTACAAGATGCGGGTGGGGGTGTCTCCTAACTGTCTGCCAGAATTCTTGATTACTGATCCTGGTGACTGCATGGAAACCAGGCTTACCTAGTGCACTGCCTGTGTCTGCCAAGTGTCTGCCTTGTGTGGAGGAGCCCTTCCACGTGCTCTTTTATCACGAGGAGGGAGCCTGGGTCAAGGGGGAGCCTGGTGACCTTCGAGACAGAAAAGATCCCTGTGCTTGAGACCCTGGGGTCAGACCCCTTCCGCCTTCTATCTACGAGGCTGCCCAGCTTCTGCATGCCCTCCCTACCTCCACCCTGTGCCTCCTGCTGGCGGCCATCCCAACAGAAACTGTATAGCTGTGAGGTATTATGAAAACAAAAACGAACATGGTTATCATTATTGATTTTGTCCAGTAAACCTGAGGTAAAGAATACTTTGAAGAATGTGATCAGAGGAGGTGGGGGAAAAAAAAAGAAGAACCATGAGAGAAAGGAACCAAACAAAATGAAATAGAACTCAATATGCTACCGGAAGGAAACGAACCGAGGAAAAGCTTTTCCAGTACAAAGAACTCATCTCAACCATCTACTTCAGGACTTGAAATTTAAGCAGTAAAATAATATATTATAACAATGTTTCTAAAATAGCAGCACACCGTGAAACATTACAGCTAGGTACTGTTAATGTGAATAGAGAATGAACGACCTCAGCTTAGCAGCGAAAAATAATAATAAACAGAACAAAAGAAAAACAAAAGATAAGAGACCCTTAGATGTTTCCCCATCTTCAACCCTCATACTATGAAACAAGGCGGAACCTATGTATGAACTTAACTCTCCAAAGCAGCCCTGTTCTGATCTTTTCTTAAAAAAAAAAAAAAAAAAAAGGCAAGTATTCTAACAAATAGCTTCATTACCTGTCAATCAACGGCTGTGGCTCCAACTTCTGTTTACTGACTGCCTCAAAGAAGTGGGAGAGGAAAAATTCAAGTACAATGAATACTATAACTTGGCGGTAAAATTAACAAACAAACAGAAAAATGGAAAAGGGAATAAAATGCCACACCCTGATGTTTTTCCATGTTCAAAGTAGAAAAATACAGACGGGGATCAATCCTTCTACGCCATCAGAATGGTTTAGACCTTTGTTTTTAGGCTGGGATGGGAATGTCAGCAGAAGGATCTCTTAGTCCTGGTAGGGACACCAGAGCCAGGTACCAGAACATCAGACTCCAGAAATGAACAGTAACCGGAAGGGGAGGGGCAAAGAAGGAAGGAGTATTCAACATTGCATAAACCATCCCATCTACCCCACCCCCATCCCACCCCACCCCACCCCGGAACAATTTTTCAAAGTGCTTTTCTAATGGAATGGTTTATAACAGCATCAAACTGTGGACCAGACATGCCAGTCAGCACCAGAAGCTAAGTTGTCGTTTTTTCCTAATAAGGGATTAAAGATCACCTCGGCCTCTTCTGTTACATAGGAAAGCTTAGTTTCGGATTCTGCTTGTGGTCTCCATCTGCCCCCATTTAGATGAATTCTGGTCATGGCCCATAGCTAATTCCCTCCATTAGGTAACAGTAGGATACATCGATAGTGAACCATGTTTGGAGGAAGAAGCACAAACTCACCAAATATGAGACTTAGGAACCAATCGCCTGTGTCCAACTGGCAAAAGACATATCCCTTAGATAGCAGCTACTGTATACAGTGAGAATATGCAACGTAGAGACCTCGCCATGCTAAGTCTTGGTAACACGTGGTGAGGCGTCAAGGCGCTTCTTACATCCAAAATGGTTCAGTCATGTGGACAGGTAGTTCTGTACAACCTCTCCAGCATGTCCCTGCTTGCTTCTGATTCCTTCTTGGGTTCACTGCATTGCAATCTAATCATGCCTTTTTGGCATCCACAACTCCTTGCAATTCTACGAAAAGGGGCATATGCACTAGTTCACAAGCACAAAAGACAGTCTCCTCTAATTTGTTCCCATATTGCAGGTGTACATAATCTCGAGCTAGTCTGCGAGTTTTCCTGTAAGCATCTGACTATGACTTTTACATCAAACAACAGCTGTGTGCATATACAAGGGTACTTCGCTGTACTCTGAGCAGGCACCACATGCATTTCAATTATAGGGCCTTTTCCTCTCACTTCTAAAAGATCTTTAAATATGATCTAGGTGGGGGCAGAATTTTTTTTTTTTAAGTTTCATCCTAAAACACAAAGAACAAAACGTAACTAGAGAGAGAGAAGGAGCGAGCAGATGACAAAACACGCCTCTCTCTTGCAGGCCCCGCACGGCATCCTCACAGGTCAACATCCCGAACATCTGTAGGCGTGGTGGCTTGGTCCAGATCTTCCACGGACTTGGATCCATTGTGCTGCTCTTGACGGAACTGCTGCAGGCTGTTCAGCAGCACAGCCTCGATTTGCTCCTGGCAGGCTTTGAGACAATCCTGGAGGAGGGCGGTCCAGACGGGAGCTATTAGCATACGCACTTGCAACAAAACGTCTCCCAGAGACAGACACAACCCAACTCACATCACCCTGTACTCATCTTTCTGTAGAAGTAAATATGAAGGAGAGGAGAGATGTTCTCAAATGCCATGGAAGCTCAGTACATGAAGTGGGGTACATGAGCCAGCAGCATCAGCACCATCTGGCAACGAGCTAGAAGTCCATCCCAGATTGAGCCAATAGGAGCTGACATTTCAGCTGAAACCCAGGCATTCTTATTCTAAAACATATGGACCAGAAAGTGATCCAGCTTTAAGGAAAAAAAAAGCCCTTGCCTGGACATCAAGGGGCCATGTGGAGGTTTTCTGTTTGGGAAAGGTTGGAGGTGGCACAGAAGGACTTGGTTCCTACAAGGTGCCACACTGTTAACCAAGCCAACAACCAATGAATAGGTAACAAGGGGGGATGCCTAACCGTTTAAAGTGTTCAGAAACTAAAAATCTCTGCATTTTCTGCTCATTTACCACCCTTGAACTCTTTTCACAAAAACACAATGCAGAATGTTTACAAACCTCAGGACGCTTGAGCTTGTCCAATTTGGGAATAAGCAAGAATTTGCACTGTTGCCTTTATTAGTCTATATTTGGTAGGGAAAGTCCAGAGCGAGCTGCCCCAGGCAGAAGCTTCTATTAGCTGGGAGACATGGAATGTGAGGGCAAGTCATGCTGTCACTGGGATGGGACTATGGCTCAAGCTAGAAGCTTGGGGGAGCGGGGGACAAGCTAAGAAAACTGCTCCTAGTAGGGATTTTCCCCCTTAGCCTCTTGGCTCTGCCTCCCTGCGCTACGAAGCAGTCTCTGCGTATAGAAACTGTGCTAACCGGAGGCTCCCCTGCCTGCCCACAGCTTAATACACACTTCCCCTCTGTTTATTTCACTGTGCAAATCTCACCACCTAGAGGCTGCTATTTTTCCAAGCACAAAGGCATTATCTTTATTTTCCAAAGACCTAAAATAAAGTTGGCATTAGCTAACAAGGAGCGAAGTTTCCATTCCCTCCCACCTCCATCCATTTTTTTCTTTCCTATCTCTCATCTGCTCCACATTTCAAACTATAGCTTGAAGATGAGGAGCGACAGCAGACTAAGAGCAAAGGTCAGAGGTGAAATGTCCCTGGAACCTGAGCATGATGGGAAAAAGGAGGGTGGAGTTTGCTGCTCACTCCATACTGGCGGGGCATCGCTCCGTTAGTCAATTCCAATCTCTGTTTCTCCATCTGTAAAAATGAACTGCTAAGCAGCAGATCAATAAATAATCACTGTTTACTATGTGTGTGTGGTAATGGCTCTATCTGCCCTGGAATCTGAAAAAAATCCTTTGGACTTTGAGATTGGATGTTTCTCAGGCTGGCTATAATCAAGAGATCCTCCTACCTCGGCCTTCTGAGGAGCTGAGACCGCAGGCACACAAACATGCCCATCTTAGATTTCTTTAAAGGAAGGTATGGATCAGCAATTATTTAAGACAAGGATGTGCCACAGGTCTGGTCCTAGAGAAAGTGTGGCCCAGCACCCAGTCACCAAGCCAATTTCAACAATGCCAAATGAGGAACTCATATGCCGAGGATCATCCTGATCTGTGGGTAAGATCATCTGGGTTGGCACATCTACCCTATCATTATGACCAATGTACATCTCCATGGTGCCAGTGTCTGAATCACACCAGATGGTCCTCCGCGGAGATCAGCCTGCAGAGAGCTTAAGGACTTGGCTTTAGGATGGGCAGTTTCCCCAACTCTTCCTACTAAGCCTTGCCATCTAGCTGCCTGAGACTTTAAAGGGACAACCCTTTAAAACCCTGTAGAGAAACCCCTACAGGGAAGACAGGACATCTGGCAGTCACTTCTACAGGACTTTCAGAGCCAAGGGCTCAAAATGATTCCAGTGTGATGTGACACACCTTTCAGCCAAGGGCAGGCTCTCAGACTATTCTAAGCAATGGATGAAGATCCAAAGATTTTCATACAAAATGTACACTCTCCTTTCCAATGTTAATTGAAAACCAAATCATTACCGACTAGGTGACCCCTGACCTTTGATCCCTCTCACTTGGAGAAGAGAACAAGGACTAATGTGGTTAACCTAGGAAGGACAGCTGGAACTCCACCTGCTGCTCACACCGTAGACCGCTCCCCCCATCTGAGGTCTCTGCTCGACTAGCCATCAGTTTCCACTTCCCCCCAAGTTGTCCGCTATCATTTCTACTTTTAACTAGGGTCCCTCAGTCCTGGCTCAGGCAGGTGAAAATCTCAAAGGCAAGAGCCTGCCCTGCAGAAACCATGGAGAATGCACCACTTCCTGCAGGTGGAGAAATCTGCACTGTGCCCTTCCAACGTCAACAGTCCTAGTATAGGAAGATCTTCCCTCCCCTTCTTTGTAGGAGCCCTTCTTGGGCCTCACAGGGCAAGTGAACTTCCTATGAGCTGGCGGGAAGCAAAGAGGACACCATTGCAGGGGAGTCAGGATCTACAATAAGCAGATTATTAGCTGCAGGGGTCGGGGTAGGGGGTGACTTAGAAAGACAGAGGAGCCCCGCCTCCAACCCAGCCACACAGCTTGTGCCAGGAGGCGGCAGGAGAGAAGTGTGGAGTTCAGGGCAATTCCAAAGGGACAGGACTCACAAATGATATCTTAATACATCATCAGAGTATCAGCAAATGTGGAGCTGTAAGAGGCCTACAGAGACCAAACTGGGAACTGGAGCTGGGGAATGGTGTGGCTTGTCCCTGAATGACGGCAGGAAAATCCACACTAGTCGCCAATTTGAGAACTCTCTCTTTCCAATGGCCCTGCTTCTTTCGGGATACAAGGAAGGGCATAATGGACAGAGAGTCTCCAGAAAGGAAGACCCAGGCCGAGTGTGCGTGTGCGAGCATGTGTAGGGGTGATGACAACAAGGCCCCTGATGAAAAGATGCTACATCCCTGTGACAAGCGGCAACTCCAGGACCTCGGCTTTGCGGCAGCCTCCCAAAGCAGCAGGCATTGTGTTAAGATGCCCCAAATTAAGCTGATTAAAAGGAAAGCTATAATGCTAGTCTGTCAGCCGGACAGGTGGCACTCCACTGCGCTGGAGGTCGGGCACCCCTCCAACTCCTCTGATGACGGCCCCCTCCCTGCTCTGCCCCGGCCCCCCATCTTCACAGCCCTGACAGCAGCGGCTGTGATCTCCAGCTCGTTACTCGGCCCCCGACTTCCTCCACTTGCTGGCTCGAGCTCCCTGCCCTGCACCCTCCACCGCCTCCATGAATGGGCCCACGGAACTCCAACCATTAGCCCTCAGTGTTACTGCATCAATCCTTTGTCACTACACACGCACTGCACTCAACAGGGGAACAAAGGGCTGAATGAGCCCCAGACCCGCGGCCAACTCAGGCAGAGACAACTTAGGAAACTATCTCATTCTTCCTTTCTTCGCAGGCTGTTTGGCCCGTTTCCTTGCATACCAAATGAGGCTGACAAGAAACGGGGGGGGGGAGGGAGGCAGGCTGCCCCCAGCTCTAGCCCACCTCCCCCGCCCTCAGCCCGCCTTCCAACCATGCTTCCCAGAATTCCTGACCCTATGAAGCCCACTGAAGAGGACATGGGTCACAGAGACGGCTTGAGAAAACACCAAGTTTCGAGCTAAGGGGGAACAGAAGAGATGCCAGGGACCCCACAGGAAACCTGGGGCCCCAAACGATCCGTTTGCACTGAAGTTATTTGTTTTACATTTACAAGCAGTATCATAAAATGTCAAGACAACCCTAAATTCTAGAATTTACTCTGGGCAGTTCTTGAAAACATGGCAAGGAGTTCTGATGTAACCCAGGTAGAGCTGGCTGTGCGACTAGAGCCTGTATTTGTTCTATTAAATATCTTCTAGAAACTTCCTCATATCTTTAGAACATGGAAGCCTCAATTCAATTTTTTTTTTCCTTTTAGGAAATGTTAGAGATTGAACCCAGAGCCTTGCCCATGTTAGGCAAGCATCCTACCACTGAGCCTCACACCAGCCCTAAATTCCACTCTATACTTCGTTAAGTGTGTGACTGAGAGTGAAGATTAAATGGCTTGCACTAAGATAAATCTTCCGACATGTTAACTAACGTTTAATTACATACATACATACAGACAGACAGGTAGATCTGGATAGATGGTAAATCTTTCCAAAAGTCCTGAATGAACGAGAGACACTTGAAACCCATCTGCTTGTCCTTTGTCCTTCTTTCCTTCCTCCTTCCTTCCCTCCCTTTCCCCAGCCTCACTACCCCATGACTGCCAGAGGCTTGGGATAAAAAGCCAAGTCTAGTTGGGTCGTATTCAAGAGACCTCAGAGTCAACTGAACAGTGAGGTAAACGCTGGACCAAAGCATGATCACACTGTGGAGGGGACGGAAAAGGAACCCGATTCTCCAGGGACTGCTCTCAGACTCACCCTTGGCAACGGAAGCCTGGGTAGGTAGAAGTTCCCTGAGAGCGAGCCTGCCCCCCTGGCTAGGGTCTGTTTTTAGCAACTCTTAACTTGTAGCTGGAAGTAAAAAGTACCGAAAATACACCACCCTCTGAGACGTCTCTCCCTGTAAAACTGTCTGTCAGGCTTCTCACTCGGATTTCTCTTTGGGATGGAGCGGTCCGGTTTATTTTGGCAACAAGATGGAAAAACAAAGACCCATTTTCTCAGAGCTGAGTGGGGGCCGCAATCCCAGCTATCTGCTGCCAGTGAGCTGTGGAATGTAGTCCAGAGGTGGCGGATGAGTCAAGAGGACCTACTTTCAACCTTGACCTCAGGCCATCCGTGAGTTGCCACTTACAGTGAGAGCAGAACATGATAGGTCTGAACGGACTGCAAAGAACAAGGTGGACTCAGGAACTCTGGTCAGCTATCTGTCACAAGGGGTAAATGTGGTCCTGGGTGTTGGTTTAACTTATCCATGGGACAGTCCAATACACCTGCTGGCATTTCACAGGGGTAGTCCCGGATGTTTCATATGTATTTGTACACATAATGTGCACGTGCATGTGTGTGTGTCCATATATGTATATATAATGTATATGTGTTTATATTCACATATGTATATATATATACACCCATATATATCCATATATCTAGATAAAGTATTATGACATAAAATCAATCACTTCTAGTGTATTTTAGTGCTATACACATCCATACTGTGTGTGATGCCCAGGATGTTGCATCTCCAATCTGAAGCTCTATATGCATTTACCATTGACTCCCCTTTCTTTCCTCATCCCAGGTCCTGGGAACCTCAGTTACTCTTTTTGTTTCTGTCAATTTGACCTCTCCAGCTTCTTCATATACGACCTGTGTCTGGCTTATTTTACTTAGCACAGTGTTTTTAAGCTTAAACCCAGGCTGATGTTACTTTTGAAGGGATCCACAATATCCCATCACATGGTCATATGACATTTTGCTTCTCTAGTCCAAGGACATGTTTTACAAATGTTATTCAGCTCAAATTACAATCGGCCTCATGAGTTCCGTCATTTAAAGAAGTGCCCTGCCTCATTTAAGGTTTGGAACATGCTAGCATTTGTTAATCCAAGATCTTGTGAGGATGCTCCATGGTTTACTTTCCTTTTTTTAAACTGAATTTATCTATTTTATGTGGATCGGAGTTTTGCCTGCCTATGTGTCTGTGCACCACATGTGTGAGTTACGGACTGTTCTGAGCTGTCACGTGGGAGCTGGGAATCAAATTCTGGTGCTCTGGAAGAGCAGCCAGTGCTCTTAACGACTGAATCATTTCCAGCCCTTACTTTACATTTCTTGTTAATCACCAAGTGATTTTCTATGCTCCATCTGCCTGTTCCAGCTTCTAGCATGGTGCCTAGGGACCAGGCCTTGCCCATTTCTACTTTCTAATGCAGCAGTCTGCAACAACTGGGCATTTCTAAGTGCTTCCAGAAATGAATGGGGAGGAGTGATCCAAGCACACCACTTCTTCATTCACAAAATGGTGAACAGAGGTCATGAAAGCAGAATTCTCCCTCCGAACACCAGTGCATTCCAAATGGCAGTCTTATCGACCTTCACTCTGGAATTCAGCTCTTCAGAGAGCACATGCTGATGGGGGGAAGGGCATTCAGCACCTGGGAAGCTGCCTTTCCACTGAAAACACTTCTGGGAAGCAGATGAGTGAGCTTCAGGGGTCAGTGGTACACATGGAACTTACTGAGGCACCAGCCATTTACCTGGACAGGTGAGGTGGATCTCGTTAGTTCCTATGTCCACGCTTGGATCTGAATACTGCAAGGTCTGTTCTTGGGCCTACTGTGAGCATCAAGCATGGACCTGTACCCCCAAATTAAGACAAAACACAGGTCCCTTGCAGAAACAAAGTGCCAGGGTCAATGAGATGGCTCAGTGGGTAAAGGTGCTTATCACCAAGCTTGGTGACCCCAAGTTCAATGCCCAGGACCCACATGGTGGAAGAAGAGCCAACTACCAAAGCAGGTTGTTCTTTGGCCTCCACACGCGAGTTGTGGCATGTGTTTTACACACACACACAGACTTGGACTTCTTGACTAGCTGCATGCTTTCTGAGAGGGGAAGGTGGCATCTCCAGTATGAAATGACAAATTGGTGTGCAGTCACATAAATCAGGGCACAGACAGAGAGTCTTAGTGGTAGCCCCTACGAGCAGTTTCTGTCCATATGTAACAGTAAGGAGTGGGGCAAGAGAGAGGGAGGCAAATCATGTTGAAAATGCAGTGACATCTGAGGGTGAAACCACTGTTGTAGGCATTGTCTGTGTGAGTTCAGAAGTTGAAGAAAGACTTGTTTGCAATTGGCTAGCATCCTATCTATGAAGGGAACCTTCACAGGAGACATTAGGAAGAGGAAAGGAAGGGGTGAGCCCCTACACACACACACACACACATATACACACACACACACACACACACACACACACCTCTCTTGGAGAATTAGAAAGGTATTCTTCACACTGTGCTGGGGTCAGAGACAGAGAGCTTTGCAATCTATATTTTGGAACCCTTTCTGAAAAGCAGACAGTTTGGCACCGACATTTAACAGAGCCCATCTGAAAGCTGGTTCAGAGAAGAGCCTAGGCTTAGTTCTATCAAGCTCTTCAAGGCTGCCACCTCTCTGAGCTAGTGGTCAAGGCCCAATACAGGTAAGTTGATGGATGGCCTTGAGCTCCCTGTGTTTAAACAGCCGCTGCTCAGCGTACCCTGGGGAGACACCAGCCACAGGCCTGTGTATCACATGACACGACCCTTGAACCCAGCAAATTCCTTCACAGGGCACTCTAATTCCTGAGCCTCTCCATGGTGAAGCGCCAGGACCTGAGAGCCAACAATACTCTTCTCTCTGCCCGGCCTTTCGACCAAATGCCTTTTGCAAATACCAAGTTCCCGGGAGCCCCAGCAGTGAACAGTCTCCAGGGTGGAGTCAGAGCTCAGAGGCGTGAGGGCCCAGCTCCACGACTACCTGTCTTACCTCCAGGTTGCCTCCTCTACCCTCTCGGCTGCCTGGGGGAAACGCAGGGGACTGTCTATCTGGGCTCTGCGAGCCATCCCAGACGGAGCCCTCTCTATTATGTCCTAGGCACTGAAACCAGGACCTTATGGAATCCTGGTCCATCTCAAAACCTCTCCTGTTTAAGAGCTCTGGATTCTGGCAGCCAGCAGCAGACTTGGGGCCGTCCATAGAGAATGGAAAAAGTCTAAAGCTAATAATAGTTGCCTGAATTTGTGTCGTACTTGATCTTTGTGTGCCTGGTCATCCGTCACCGCTTTGATCAAGAGCAAAGGCAGAGACAGGATGGTGGAAGGCTGGACAGCAAGCACAGGGGGCCACATCTCGAATGCGCTCTCTCCTCTGCGGCCACGGCCCGGCTTTAGCTGTCCTCTTTGAGCTTCACCTCCTCAGAGGGGAGTAGCCGAACTGGAGGCTCTCCACGGCAGAGCAGAGGCCCGACAACGTGTACATAAATGGACATGAACCCCACACCACGGAGGAAAACCAGTCAACGGCCCTCCCCCTCCCATCCGTCTGCTGAGGTCCGCCTGTATTTTAAGGCACACACAGGCTTTCACACCCACAAGAGGAAGCAGGAGGTAGTCAGTGGGGCACACCTACAATCGAGGAGACCAGGGAGGCAGAGGGAGGAGGATCACAAGTTCAAGGCCAGCCTGGGCAACTTTGTGAGACTGTCTCTCAATGAAAGTTAGAGAAGAGATGATGATGTGACTCAGTGGTAGAGTGGTGGCCTGGCATGCCCACAGCCCAATCCTCAGTCACACACACACACCTTGATGGGGAGGCGTCACTCTGCTAGCGCTTACGCCACCTTAAACGCTGATCTTCAGAGACAAACACCAAGAAGAAAAGAAAAGAAAAAAAAAACCCACAAAACCTTTGGCCCACCATCATAAACCAACCATCTTTCCCGGGACTTGAGGAGAGACATCGGGTTTCAGGCAAGGTGGTGGGTACCTACCACATCAGTGTGGGTGATCTTGGCCAGCAGTTCGGTCAGTGCATCACACGTGAGTGTGTTTGCTTCTTCATCCTGCTGAAGCCCACAGATGGCTGCTCCCACACTTCCGGTTGCGATCATCGATGGTGGGTACATGGCAAACTTGAAGTCTGGAAAGAACAAGAGGCTGAAAGTTAATCACAGAAGCCAAATGGGGCCCGAGCTTGCCAGCCTGCAGATGCTCGCAAATCAGAAGGCGTGAGGCCACTGGCCTAGAATCCCTGGCTCCACAGCCACTCTCTCCCTTGACTCCTGCCACAGGAAGCTCTTTTGCCAACTACGGGTATTCTCAATCTTAAAAGGGACACCAAGGCAAGAGAGCAAGGTCACTTATCTGAGTGCACACAGCAAGTCACCAAAGGCTCCACATCCTGGGGAGTCTATGCTCCCACAATCGTTCAAGAAGTCAATACATGCCAGGTACCATGTTCTTTGCTCTGGCCTGGTCAGTGAGGTGAATAAAATGTGGCATCTTCCCCGGGAGGTGGTGGAACAGAGTCAAGGAGGCATATACAGGTCAGTACTCCCTCTACCCTGCAGGTGGGATAACTACAGGCTTTTGACGTTTGAAGGAGGGAGGGCAAAGCACAAGAAGATAGACAATCATGAGGACTTTTGTGAAGAATGATATTCCCAACAGGACCTTGCCCTAGTCTCTGGCTAAGTGTAAAAAAATACTACAGAGGGGCTGGAGAGTTGACTCAACTTATTGCTCCCACAGAAGACTCAAGTTCGATTTCAGCATCCACACGAACTGTCTGCATCTCCAGTCCCAAGGGATCTGATGTCCTCTTCTGACTTCCACAGGCCCCAGGCATGTGCATAGTACACATACATACATGCAGGCAAAACACTTCTAAGTGTGTGTGTGTGTGCGCACACGCATGTGTGTGTGTATGAGTGCATGCTCACATGTGTGTGCATGTAAACTAAATACAGAAGCAGTAATGTAGGAGATGAGGTGATTAGGCCCAAATTCCCTTAATTCTCAACTTCTAACCATATGTTAAGGATCTTCAGAGCATTAGGATAGAGGACAGAACTTACTCAAATACCAAAGACTAACATTTGCATTCCAATCATACTGTTATTCACCTTAAGTAGGAGTGGCAGCTTGGGACCCTAAACTTAGTTCCTACTGAGTGATTCTCTAAGGGGCTTCCTGACTATGATCCATTAACTGCTGGACCTGCCAACTGCTAACATGCATGCACTGAACATGAACGTGATGTCTGTTTAACATGCATATCGACCATGGAAGATGACCTTGTGGGTGGAAGGACACCTGAGAATTGTAACTTGTCCTTGCCCCTGCCTTGGGCTCACAAACTAAAGAGGTAACAGTGTCATCACTCAGTCTAGTAGCAGTTGTGAAATGGGGCCCACTTTCCAGTGTATGATCACCAGTTGTAGCAAGGACACTAAGACATCCAGTGGGGACGGAAGGCAGAGCACAGAGGGACAGATGAGTCCCACTTCAGATCATGGGGGACTACTGGGCTGAACATGAATGCTCAGAGCAACCTAGACGCTTCCCTTCTCCCAACGCAAAGCCCTCCTGCAGCAGCGTGGCACTGGGAGGCTTTTTCAACAGAGAACACGGTGCCTCCGCATTGAATCCCCACTGTTCTTAGACACTCTATACGAATCAGCGAACCATGCACGCGTCCCCTCCCACCTGGGCTCAATCCCAGGAACACTGGGTAGGCCTGGCCGTCTGTCTGTCTCTCTCCTTGGCTTTCTTCCATTCACAATTTTCACCTTGAGGCCCATATATTATGGGGTTTCACCCAATTCCCGCTGGCCGCCAAGTCCTGCCTGTGTCTTCTCTATCTGCTTAGCTGGTGTGACGAAGCCAACCTCCTTGCCTCTTGCTCTGCTGTAGGTCTCTCCCGTATGGGCCACAGGAGACTGTTTCTCTGTCCAATAACCTTGTTAGCTCCCCTCTGTGACATTCATAGTACAGAAGAGGCAGTCAGCCCATGGCCCTGGGCCCATAGAGGCCCTGGGTGGGAGCACCTGGCAGTGACAGGGCAGGGAATTGTCCCCAAGGTTCCTTTTCTTGTGCCCAGGCTCCAGATCAGGAGGCATGTGCATCATCCCTGTAGAACTTCGCAGCCACATCGCTAACAAAACCAATTCAAGGTTAGCATGTGGAGCCGGAGGGGATATATGGCCTGACCTGGGGTACAGGTACAAGACCTTTATGAGGGAAGGTTCTACCTTTTCTCTTTCCCTAATAAAGTACTGAGGGGAGTCCTCCTTGGGCAGAGTCTGACTGACTCTTTATGCCGTGCTCCAACATGCATGACTAGTCACCCCCATACCCCACACTGTGGTAAAACAGGTGTTCCCAAGAAGCAGCAGTTTCATATGGCCAGGTAGCCAATTTATTACACAGCAATACATCCCAGTATGGTGTCTTTCTTTTTCTTTTTCTTTTCTTTTTTTTGGGGGGGGGGTTGTTGAGACAGGGTTTCTCTGTGTAGCTTTGCTGGATCTCACTCTGTAGATCAGGCTGGCCTGGAACTCACAGAGATCTGTCTGGCTCTGCCTCCCAAGTGCTGGGATTAAAGGCGTGCGCCACCACCGCCCGGCACCAGTATGGTATCTTACGCTTGGCTTCACATACACTACACGGATATCTTCAAGAGAAACTTTTCTGACCTAAGAAGGGTTAGTGATTTGCTTGGCAAAGTGCTGGCACACACCTTTCATCCCAGCACTCGGGAGGCAGAAGCAGGTAGAATTCTGAGTTCAAAGCCTGCCTGGTCTACAGAGCCAGTTCCAGAACAGCCAGGGCTGTTGCTCAGAGAAACCCTGTCTTGAAAAAGAGAAAGAAAGTTTAAGTGTGAATTTAGCTTCTTCACAGTGCTATTCTGAGGACTGACGGTAATAGCCTATGCTGTTAACCCAGGTATGGAACCTGGCTCCCGGTAAACCACAAATGACAGATGTCAGTCACTCTCGATCCTAATCCTCACCCTCCACTGCTCTCCCCCCTGGGACTGCCTAGTCAGCTGCTGAGTCAGTAGTTATCTCTGCCATGCAGTCCACATTTATTCTGATGTCGTTCACCTAGAGCCCAGGAGCAAGGCCCGTGTGAGGAGCCCCAGGCCTGGCCTCCTCACTCCCTCCTGGTGGGTGCAGGCCAAGGACACATACCAGGTGAATGGAAATCTTAAGGTGTCAGGTGATTCGTTCAGTGTCACTCACTAGGGTGTTGGACCTCTGACTTGGGACGCCTCTGTACTCCGATCCAGTCTGGGTTTCGAACAACCCTGAGTTACCTCCCACACAGTGAAGGGGAACACAAAAGCGGGGCTCTTCATCAGAAGCCCAACTCCACGGGCCCCACCTCCACAGTGTCAGCCGGAGACCGTGGCCCCAGATCCCAAGGATGCCGCAGAAGCAGCTGGGGGTCTGGAGTGGCTCCCGAATCTAAGCAAGGACCCGGAGAAGCACTCCGTATCCAGCAACGAGGAATCGGCACTTTTTGATGAGATTTCACTGGCCAGACTGTTCTACGCTAGTGGAGTCTAAATCTGGGAGGCTGTGTGTGGTCCTGCTCAGAGCTTGACGCTGAGTCAAAGTAGGAGCCTGAGCAGTGCCGACTCACAAAGCCTCCCAGGGGCTGCTCTACTTTCACTCACCACTAGGGGGAGCGGCGTTGATTGTTGAGGCGGAGGAAACCCAGAAAAACTGTCAGTTTTCTCTGCTTCTTCCTCTTCCTTAACCTGTAGCGAGGGTGGTGCAAGTTCAGACCCAGGGTGCTCATTGGCCAGTGATGTCATTCGGCACACGCTCATCTGCCACCCCCAGAAAGGATTCTGCACAACCTGTCCTTACGGCGCAAGGGCAGTAACTGTTTGCTACTGAGGGGTTAGCTTGTGTGGGAGGAGAAAAGCACCCATTCATCTTACGGGATGTGAGATAACCAGTATCACTCACAGAACTCCAGTTCAACACGCTACTTCCTCCTTTTGGCCCCATGACTGCCCTCTGGGGGCAGTTCAGAGGCCCCCGGGTGGATATGTGGGGTTCACTCTTCCTTCCTGGCTACCAGAGAGGCTTGGATTGCATTCTAGAACAAAAGTCAAGTCCCCAGACTTTTCAGGGCCACCACAGTCTGGCTACAACTTGGGGCTGGAAATCAACAGACGCCCTTAAGAGAAGACTGGGTGAAGCCTAGGCGAAAGCCCTGGGGTGGAGGTGTGGTTAGCACAGGCAGTTGGGTACAGCAGCCACAGGTGGGCTCCCAGCGCCAAAAGAAGCGGCTGCAGGGAATCTGGGGTACCGGTACCAAGTTTAAACTCAACGCCACTGATGTTACATGCTAAGCATGTTAAGGTTGCTGGTGCCCAAGAGAGATCCTGGTCATTTCAGGGGGGCCTTCTTGCCCCTGCTGCGGAGGCCACTTCTGCCTTCCCTGAAGCCACACGTTCTGGGCAGGAGCTGGAGTTATGAAAACCTCTCACGCCTCAGGCTCCTCCACCAAGACCAGCTGGGAGAGCAACAACCAGGTAGTCTCAGGCCGCCTCTCTCCCAGAAGCCACTGTACGCTGAACAGGGGAGGAAGGCACCTCTCTGCCTTGCCACCAACCTTAACCCAGAGCCCCATGAAGGCAGACTGCTGCTGGCCAGTCACTCTTCCCTCCCTCGGCCCCTGGACTGCCCACGCTCTCTTCCCCTTTCACACACACATACGCTTAGGACATCCCTTAGGGCAACTGCCAGCAGTTGTTTCACAACTGGCTTTTCCCATACACTAGCAACATCGCCCCAGGGCTGGCTACCTACCATCTCCTCAGGACTGCCCCCTTCCTGTGCCATGGTGAACCCCCAAGACCCTGGCTGCAGGCGCTTCCTCAGCTCCAGGACTGGAGCTAGAGTGAGTCTATGAGGTACTGGGCATGCACTCGGGAGCTGTGGCTGAGGGGCAGGCGCCTCCTCTGTCTTTGGTCCTTGAGTCACTCGGCGTCTGCTATTTGAGGGTCCTGCCGTTTCTTGGGTGCACTAGATCGTGGCTCCCTGAAGCTCTGTCACTCAAGAGCAGCAGGCCTTGGGGTTTAGGCTGTCCAGCCGACTGCCGGCCTGCTTGCTGCCCTCCACCCCCACCACCACCAGCAGGGGTCCAAGTGCAGACCAGGGGAGAGAGGAGGACCCTGTGGTCAGGCCTACCCTCTCCACACCCAAGAGGCTTGTGGTTCTCTTCTTCACTTTCACCAGGTCTGCGCCTCAGGCTTGGTACTTGGCACACAGCTCTGACCTGACTGGAGGTACACTCTCCCCTTTCCTTCCCACTTCTTGGCTAAAGCCGAGGCCAGGCTGAGGCCCCCAAAAGGCAGTCTTCCTGACTGCCTCCACCTCCCAGTGGACCTCTGTCCTCAGTCCCTGAATCCCAGGCTCCCCATTTTGGCCCCAAAGTTGGCAGCTGCCCCAAGGATCTGGACAAGACAGCCAAGAGTGGGGGATGGGATCCCCAAGAATAGAGAAAGGGCCTGTGGTCTATACAGGATTGGGAGAATCTATCGGAGCCTGGGTAATCCCACCTATCACCCCCTCACCCCAGAGCAAGATCAGGGAGAAAGAAGTGGTGGACACTCTCCGGCCCAAAGACCTGTTAGTCAAGGTCAAAGTAGGACTGTGGCCATTGGCAGCTGGGTGGGTGGGGAGAATTTAGGTGTGTGTGTGTGGGTCAGCTGTGCTGTCCTAGGGCCAGAGAGAAGAGGTTGACACACACACACACACACACACACACACACACACACACACACACTGAATCATCACAAGAGAGGATAGGGACTGAGTTCCTGGGTGAGAAAAGAGCCAGTCAATGTGAGGCTGACCCCTAGAGCCCAGGCCAGTCGGCAGGAGAAGAGCAGGGAGCAGAGGAGGACTGAGATCCAAAGGGGAGCCAAGACGAGGCTTCCGTGTGCACGCCCCCAACCCCCAGCTGCTGGAAGGATAGGTATCTCCTCAAAGGAGCTGGGACACATGTGCCATGAGGGCTGATGCAGGTCCCCAAGGGCTGGACTAAACCAGCAGCAGGAAACATGCACACACACACACACACACACACACACACACACACACACACACACACACACCTCAAAATGGGGTTAGAATCCCACACACAAGCCAGTCGGAGCCCGTGTCTAGTAGCAGGAAAAGCCGTATCCACCCTTAAGTGACGAAGTTCAAGTCTCAGACGGGGCTCACTATTGTTGGAGTACTTTCACAATTCATACTGTGCATGCGCCTTATAAAGCACGGGGCATGTCTCGCTGTGGGTTTTAGTTTTCCTATGCACTCTGCAGAGGCTAGAGAAATGATGTATCCAAAAGCTTGTTTTGCAGATGGAGTTGAACTCCAGAGAGGTGAAACAGCCTATGCAAGGTCACTCAGTGATAAGTAACAAAGTCTGTCTGACCTTTTAACTTCCAACAAAGCACAGGCCCTATTGTTCAGTACACAACCAGCTACAAGGATTAAAATGTTATACTCCACCCCGACTCCCTATCACACCTCCACAGTTCAGGAACCCCAGGTGAACTGAGCTGCACCCTACTCATGGTTATTCTTTACCTTCTGACCCTGAGGAGACGAACTCCTGACACATCTCCCCTGGACTCCCAAGCTCCTAGAGCAGGGTTCTCAACCTCCCTAATGCTGCGGCCCTTTAAGACAGTTCCTCATGTTGTGGTGACCCCCCAACCTTAAAACTACTTTGTTGCTACTTCATAAGTGCAATTTAGCTACTGTTATGAATCGTAATGTAAATGTCTGACATGCAGGGCATCTGAGAAGTGACCCCTGTGGGGGCTGAGACCCACAGATTGAGAACCACACTTCAGTGGCTTCTACCCAGGTGTGGGCCAGTAACAGCTACGTATCAAAATCTTTTCCAGAGCTTGGAAAACCAATCTTTGCTCAAAAGGTTTACTCCCTCATCAGCCGAGGGAGCAACCAGAAGGCAATAAGTGAATTAGTGAAAAGGAATTCTTTCCCTCATATCAGGGCGGCCGCGGATTCATCTTGTCGTGTTCCTTTAACCTATATGTGCCCCACCTTCCTTACGTTCCCTCTCAGGCTTATCTCCAAGCTGTCCTTTTCCTCAAAAGATTAAAGATCTGAACACAACCAGTGAGCAGTATATATAATCTTCAAAGAGCACTTTAGACATCATAAACAATATTTTAGCAGGCACTGCTTTCTTTCCCCTGACCACACCTGTCCCCATAAAGCATTTATGAGTGAAGCAGGGGAAGAAAATATTCGAGTTCTGATAAAGAGGGATCCAGTCAGAACTGAAAGCCCAGACCGGCTAACTCAGGCCCACTTGCCCAGGACACCCGAAGCAGCGGGAGTTGGAGGACTTCCTGCTGCCCCTAGTGTGAGCCCCTGAACTCCCTCTCACCGGTAGCACACAGAGCGATGAAGGTCTGCGCATGCTTGCGGATCAGAGACAGCTTCTCCTTCTGCTGGGGGAGCTTGCGCAGGATGTGCTCAATGAAGTCGTGAGGGGTGACTGCAGCCAGGTTCCACTTCAGCTTGCCCAACACCACCAGTTCCCACTCCTGCAAAGGGCGGGAGGAAGAGGGCAGAGTACTAAACATCCATAGGCTGACTCCAGGTCTGGGCTAGGGGCTGCGGTCCAGACCAGCTTTAATGATGCTCATTAAGGCTCAGCTGTCGGATCACGATCCTGGGGGGGGGGGGGGACGACTCATTTGTCACCATGCCCTTCATGCTTTGCAGTCGCTGACAGGCTCTTCTTGTGATGAAAATGTCAGGCTCCACTGGAGATAATGAGAGGCCAGGTAACCATTGCCAAGACCCGACTTTCTTCAGTTTTCTTCCCAACCCTACCCACAGGACCCTGATGTCCACAAATGCTGATGCTTGCCCACCCAGAAAGTTGGACCGATAGCAAGATCTAGTCAGGGTCACGGTGGCACTGTGGCAATAATTTATTGGATATGTCTCTATCATAGGACTAATAGTCTCTTTAGTTCTCGTGAAAAAAAAAATGTTACTTGCAGATTAGGAACAAAATAAGCTTCCTTGGCCCAACTCATTGGCAGCCAATTAGCTGGCCTCTACTTGTGAGAGGAAGTCTTTTCCTCTCTGCTGCTGACACTTTCCCCTTTGACACAGCATGGAGAAGTCTTGGGGATATGACACTTGGCGCTTTCCCCTACAGCTTCCCTGGCCTTTGTCTTCATGACTAAGAGGCCCAAGGTGGTCACTTGCAACCCCATGTGGCCGACAGTGATTTGAGGCAAGGTGGGGGTGCTGAAACAGGGTCCTAAAACCCCTTCAGCCCACGCAACGGGGACACTGCAGCGTCTCTTTTATGGGTCTCTCCCTGCAGTCCCACTAGTAAACAGGCTTGTGTCTCTCCTTTTGTGAAATAAATAGGGGAAATCCTGTTCAAATGAACTGGACTAAATAAAATAAAACCACAAGAAAATGTGCACCTGAGGGGTGTGTGCCTGGGATTCTACCTCTCTGAAGCAGAATGGAGGTTTCAGGTGAGCTTGAATTATGTAAGACCTTGTTTCTTTTGTTTTTGTTTTGCTTTTTCCGTGCCCCCCCCCCGCCCCCCGAACGTGGGGTTCGTTCAAAAGGAAACTGTCCCTGCCAACCAGTCCTCTTCAGAAACACAAGAGGCAGCTATTGCCTGGCCACGACCTGACTCTTCAGCTCACCCGGCTCCATCTGCAAAGCTCAGGGTCAGGCTACAAAGCACCAACTAGCTATGGTGTGTCCTGGAGCAAGCTCTCTTCATCCATGACATAGGAAGGCTCTTCCAGACCCTGTGACTTCTGGCTAGGAGGTGGGAAGCTGGCATGCTTTATTTATTTGGAAAGACTTAAAGTTAGCATCACTGGTCCTGGAAATATTAGGATGTCTTGAAAAACACCTCAAATCTTCCAGTACATCAGCCACATGGAAGGTTCTTTTTCATGTGTTTTGGGAGAAAAACAAGCTGGTCTCCAATTCTAATCTTTTTTTTTTTTTTTTTAATTCATAAGCTTTCAAGTCTGCCCTGGCTTTTTGCAGAAAGTTGGGATTAAAAACCCGCTTAACTACGAAAAAACCAGAGATGGCTTGAATCCCAGCCCTTCCTTCTTCTAGGGCAATGTGAACATAAACTCGTCCTCTGGCATCATTATTAAAAGCAGCAGATCTTCCAGAAGAAAGCACCTTTAGGGGCCTCTCAGCTCAAACCAGAAGCAGCTGAAATCTGGCAGTGGTTCAAAGGTGAAGTCATTCAGGCCCCTCTGCATTCTCGGCAATTCCTCCCCCAGCCTTGCACATGTCTGCCACTAGGTGGCAGCACAAGCCCAGAAAGGAGGGCTCCTCACAAAGGGCTCAGTTCAAGAAGCCATTCTTAGCCTTGGAGACTTTGTGCAGGCCCGGGCCATGCCAGCAAAGGGGAGTAGGCAGAGGGGGTGGTCCTCTTCTACCAGTGCAAGAGAAAGGTGTGCAAACCACTGAAGGTGGGCCCCAGAAACTGCAGAACAGAGCCGCAGAACCTTCGGTGTGTGGCTGCAATGTGAAAAGAAGGGGCAGGAGGATTTTTTAAAAAAAAAGAGATAGGTGGTGGGGAAAGCCTTTTTGGCAGAAAATCCGAGCCAAGACAGGACCCTCTGGGAACTGTATCAGTCACAGTCCCTTCGGGAGCTAAGAACTCATGCTTTAGAGCCCTCCAATAGAAGGCCACGACTTTGCGTCAAAGTTGATATATGGACACTTAGTGATCAGCTACTGTGTGTATGTTGATATTGTGAGATTTTATTGATCTGTAAGACATTACCTGCGACACCTCCAGGCTCTTAGGAGACACAACACAGGTAGCGTGTGAGAAATCAGACTGTGTTCTCAAGGTTCAGTGGAAATATAGACCTTAATTAAAATCATTAACTAAAATAGTCTATACCTCCCCACCCCCACCCCCACCCCCACCACTCACTCAAATTCTCAACTGGATTTCATCCTCACAAATTTCCATGAGGTCTTGAGCTTTGTTCACTCCCTGACATGAGAAGACTAGCTATCTCCTACTGAGTCACCTGGTTAGTGTGAAGGGTCCAGTAGTCCTGGGCAATTCTGAATCCCAAGACGGACCTGGGGTTGGTGGATGGGGTTGGGGGAGGGCAGAGTCAGGAGCAGGGAGAGCAGCATTACCAGCAGCTCCTGGGGCTTCACGGAGTTATCGGTGTAAATGCACAGCTTCTCCGCGGTCAGCGGGATGGTCTCTTTGAGCTTAGAGGCCAGGAACATGCACACTGCGCCCAGGAGCTGAAGATGGGTCTTAGGAGTCGGGACTCCGGCCAAGAAGCGGTCCAGATAATTCATGGCCAAAGGAAAGACTTCCTCTTCACACTTCTGTTCCTCACAGACCTACAACCGGAGTGGGAAAGGGTCCGAGACGACAGTGAAAAAGTAGCATCAGACACAGAGGAAGAGAAAAGTATAAACCGTGGCAACCAAAAAAAAAAAAAAAATTTTTTTAAATTTTTTTGTGGAGAGGGGGAGGGGAATAGAAAGGGCAAATAGAACAGAGGTGAGAACACTGGGGTAAATCCGAAGAGCCTTTGGGGCTCGGATGTTCCCCCAGAGCTGAAAAAAGTGGTTAACTAAAGTCCCCCCAAGCCCCCAGGCAAAGCCCAGAGCAGCCGCCGCCTGCCGCTCCCTCTGCCTCCTCACTTCTCCGCACTCTAACTCACTCACTCTCTTTTTTGGATTTCGTCATCTTTTCAAAAAATCAATAAAAATATTCTGGAAGCTCCAAGGGTCTACTTCTTGGTCTCATTCGGATCCCCAGACCCTATTCTATCATTCCCGACAATTGAAAAAATTGTCCAGGGTGGTCTCGGCCGCCCAGGGGCCGCTGTTGGGGGGGAGGGTGGAGAAGAGAGGGGGAGGGAGGAGGAGGAAGCGCGCCGCAGCCGCCGCAGCTGGAGCCGGAGCAGGGGGGACCGCTTCGAAAAAAAATTATTAAAAATCGAGGGGAAAGCCTAGAAACTTCCTTTGGGCCTGAAAACCCCAGAGAGGCTCCAGGCTCCCCGGAATAGAGGTTTCGGGTGTCATTAAGGTCGTTATCTCCACCCCAGGGGCTCTGGATCCCCGTGCGGAAACTTGCGGAGTGTCCGGCTGCGGCCCACAAGGGCAGTAGCTAAGAAGGCTGTACTCAGCTGGGAGCTGGGGGAGAGGGAATCGGGGAACCCCTCTCCAGGAGGCACGCGGGACTCTGATCTCTCATCTGGGGGTGTCCCCTAGCCCGCTCTACACACACCTCCTCCCTCGCTTCCTACCCCACCCTAATCTGCGCGCTGAAGAAGCAGTCAAACTGTAAGTAACCTTGGTGATCTGGGGGCTGGGAGAGAGGGCACGGCCAGAAAGAGGGTGACCACGATCATGGGGTGCTTGGGGGAGCCGGCGAATGTTCCCAGTCCTTGCAATTGGAGTTTGCAAAGCAACATGGCGAAAGCGCGGCAGGTCCAGAGCTGTGCATACGTGGGCACCCTCCTCTCTCCGCAAAGATTGCGAGCGAGACTAGAGCAGCGGTTCTTTCAGAGTCCCCCCAAACGCACGTTTTCCCAGTGTGACTTCCGGGGCTCTCCTGAACTCCCTGATTCTCTCCTCCCTACTCCCCCTCCAAACTGCCAACGCGGAGTCCCGACCACACACGCAAGGGACCCGAGGCCAGGGTGGCATTGCCCCAGCCTCGGAGTGAGGGGGGGGGGGCGCGTCTGTCTTCCACTGTTGGTGTGGATTTTCAGGTCCCTACACCCTTGAGGGGCCTTACTGAAGGCAGCGGTCCCCCAAAGCAGGTCAGGATGGGGATGGGAGGACGAGGAAGCCACATGCAGACACACGTTAGCGGGATGCCCCCTCCCGATCGTTGCCTCACCCACGTTTTCTCCCCCCCCACACAGTTAATCTAGCAAGGGGCAGAATTGCGTCTCGTCCAAGGGTGCGGGGCCACCTCGCGCACGGGCGCAGGGAGGCCAGCGCAGGGGTAGTCCCCTCTCAGTTTTAAGATCCCTGCGTGCTGGGGGGGTGCGGGGGGGGTGAAGCTGGTAGGACTGCCTCTCTCTGAGAGCGTCGCCAGCACACCTACCTCTAGCATCCAGGTGGCCACCATCCTGCGCATGTACGGCTGGATGTCCTTCTGCACGCACTTGAAATAGGAGCACTGCGGGAGGTAGCGCTCCTCGATGGTCAACAGGTTCTGCAGGACGCGGTCTTCCAGCAGGTTGCGGTCCGGCACAGCCCTGCGGACCGGGTCCACCTCGCAGCAAAGCAGCTCCATGGCCAGCCGGCGACAGACTACTCGGTCCCAACTGTGAAAGTTTTATTAGATTTAGGAGGGAGGGGGCGCTCCCCTTACCTCCTTCCTTTGGCTAAATTCGAGATTTCAGAGGGAAAGAGTGGGAAAGAGAGAGAGAAAGAGAAGGGGTGGGGGGGAGGCAGAGTGGAAGGTGGGCGAGCAGAGAGCCTCAAGGGCGGTCTGACTCGCACCGGTCCTTCCCTCGGAACTGCCTCGCTCTCCCCAGCTCGCTCTCCTCCCTCTCTCTGAGGCGAGGCAGTGACGCAAGCTGGCAGGGCAGTTAGATCTCCTCCCCCTCTCCGGTTCCTCCTCCCCTTTCCTCCTCTCCCCGGGCGTCCCTCCCCTCTTTTCAATCTCTCCCTCCCTCTTTCCCTTTCCTACCCCCCCTTTCCCTCTTGTTATTAAGGCGCACAGCAGCTGGCCCGACCAAACTTCAAACACGATCCCCCCCCCCAGTTCTCCGAGGCCCTCTCCCTCAATCCAGCCCCGCTGCTAGGGGCCCCGGATAGGGGAACCCACAAAACCCACCGATTCCTATTGATTCTCTATCCTTTCTTACATTCTGTAGCCATACCATGGGGAGGGGGTTTGCCCTCTAACTTTGGCGGCTTGCAATGTGATCGGAATACTGCCCACTATTCACGACCCAGCGGTAGAAGGTAGACTGAGGGAACATGTGGATGAGCTCAGACAACTTAGAAGTAGATCCCCTAACTGGAGAATCAGAGAAGGCGGATTTGAGAAAATTGCAACTTTGCATACCCAGGGATAAATGTTATAACGCCCCTGAACTTAGGCTCCTGATAACTTTCGAGCTGTTTCCCGGCCCAGAGCCACGTCTGTGGAGAGGAAGAGGAGGAGAGGGTGGGTGCTGGAAGGAGGGGGCTGCTTCTCAGGCCTGGTTAGACTGTGACCCTCGTGCGGAATCCTCGTGTTCTTGGGGGCGCCATTGGGCGACGCGGCTAGCCGCTCGGGCCCGCCGCAGGCCGGGGGCAGGGCTAGCAGCTGGTTCTCCACGGCCCTCGGCCACGCAGGAAAAACCCGCTTCCTCGCCCCTGCAGGGGCTGACGAGCCAGCCCTAGGTGTCTGCGCCTAGCGTGGCCACACTGATACAGCTTTCTAGGAAATGGCTCGGGAGGGGCCAGGGAGGGGAAGAGGGAGGGTTTAGGTTTGGCTCCCCGTGCGCAGCGAGGCCACCCTTCCTTCCCCCGGGGGTTCCTGGGTCCTGCACCCCTCAATCTCAGACCCCGCGGGGGCTCGCGCCTCACTCGTCAGCCCGGACTTTGGGTCGCCTCTGACATGTGCTCTGGCGCATCCTGTGGTCAAGGCTGTTTGTAGAGGGGACACGGGGGGCGCTTCCTCACCTCCTTCCTCCTCCCACCATGCTTTTCAGCTTATTCCTCTAGGGGAGGAAGGGGCAAGGACTCAGGGCCCCCGGCAGGGCGGCCACGCTGGCACGTGCAGATAGCATGGCGTGGGTTGCGGCTCTCTGGGCACAACGAGAGCCACTGAGTCCCTCCTACCCTGAGAACGGGGGCCCGAGCAGGGGCGCCTACAGCTAGCGGAGGCTGGGGGGTGGCGCGCTGGGGGAGCTGCACCCGTGGGCTTCCAGAAAGGCCGGGGAAGGGAGGTGAAAGGGAGAACGCAAGAGGGGAGGGGGCAATAAAGCCGAGGTGCAAGCGATTAACTCCGGCCCGGCCAGCCCCTTTAAACGAGGGTGGGGCGGAAGGGGTGGGCGGGGGGAGGGGGATATCACTTTAAAAGGGTGAGTAAGAGTTTGGGGCGCCGTCTCCCCTCCCTCTATTTGCATAGCCAATAGCTCTGGGGCTCCTGCTACTGCGCGCTGATTGTTACCGGGCAGATTACTTTTTTTTTTTTTTTTTAAGTAGGACGCCTTCCCCGCTACATCAAAAGGAAGCCCGAGGAGGGCGGAGAGAGCCGGGACCCGGGCGGGCTGGGGCTGCGGAGGGGCCCGGGTGCCTCGGACCTTATCAATGGCTGCGGGAATTAGTATCCAATCTACTGTGTGTAAAGAAAGGGGAGGGAAGGGGCGGGCGAGGAAAATGTCTAATTGCAGTGGAAGCCATTAGCTTTCGGGAAGAAAAAAAAAAACTCATTGACAAACCCAAAAGCAAAATGAAACGGTCCCGCGCCCAAGATGACACTTGGCTAGTGTGCACTGTCCATCACCTGTTGATTTAAATCACAGGCTTCCCGAGTAGAAGGTTTATGGTGACACCCCGGACAGATACGTGAATTTATGATTTAAGACCTCACAAAGCAATGACTAAAAACTTCCCCAGGGCCACCTCGGAGGAACGGATCTGACAGAGCTCCTGGACAGGGGAGCCAAGTACGGGGCGACATAGGTGTACTGAGGTATCCATCTACCCCGATGGAGGACTTGGAGGACATCCAGTCTCGCCACATCCCTCGAAGGCCAGCCCTGCAGGGTCTCCTCTGCCCCTCCAGTGAAGGCGGCATCCGGAGCTCGGGGGCGGAGAAGAGGCGGGTGGTCGTCTTCGAGGGCTCGCCCACCCGGAGGACAAAGTCTGGGTGGCAGGTCCTCCCGTCTCCAGAGCCAGCGGAGGGCCCCTCGCCTCTTCCCTCCCCCACACTTGGCTTTGCAGTGAAATTCCAGCGGGGAGGGGATCCTGGGGTGGGAGAGGTGGCCTGCGGCGGGGAGGGCCGCGGAGGAGGGGAGGAGAGGGTCTCGGAACAGAGGCCCCAACGTCTGGAGACTGGAAAGTTAGAGTACTTCCCGCCTGAGAGGCTCTCTCCTTCAGCGCCCCCATCCACCTCCCCCTCCGACTTCCGAGGGTTCCCGAAGGTGAACCTCGCACCAAATCCGTCCCCAGCACGTGGGGTGCGGCGTGAGAGGGTGCGGAGGTTGGCAGCGTGTCTCTGAGAGGTTGGGACTGGAAACTGCCTTCTCTCTTTCGGTCGCCACTCTGACCACGTGCTTAAAAAAAAAAAAAACTTAATTCCTTGTTTTTGCGGGCTTTGTTTGTTTGTTTGTATAAAAAGTGCTCCAGCTAACACGCGGGAAAGGGCATACCGCCGAAGGGGCCAATGTACCCATTTTTCTTGAATGTGGACTTGGGTGTGCAGAAGAAGCACGAGTGTGCTCTGCTGGGAGGGGGTGCAGTAAGAATAAGAGGTCTCCTCCTCCCTCTCCTTAACCCCTGACGGTGGAGAGATCCCTTGCTGGGTAGGATCCGTGATAAACTTGAACCAAACGCGAGGTTTACTGGACTTTTTAGTCCCTCCAGGACGTGCCCCCCCACCCCCTCCCTCTTGCATGTAGCAGTTTCGGTTGGAAAGTGTACAAAGCCTGTAGGTGTAAGGTGCAGCAGGGTGTCGGGTGTTTATAGGCATATTTCTGCAGGAACCTGCCACCTAGGCACACATTCTAATAAAGCTCACCTGGCGGGTGCCAGCCAGCCAGGTGATCCTGCGGTCGGCCCCAAGCTGGGGAGTCCTTGGTTCGAATCCTGCTACCTCGACATTCTGGTCCAGGAATGGAGGGGTCATCGTCTCCTCCCCGACTCCCCCAAGGAGTAGAGCTGTGTTTGGGTCACTCCACAGACAAATGGGTGGTCGGCCAATCAAAACTCCATCACTCGATGGTTGCTTCATGTAGAACTAGGCGAGGAAAAGGCTCAGTAAGAGGAGTGGGGGAGACATTTAAAAAAAAAAAAAAAACAGGTTTAAAATGTGAGAAGGAAAAGTTGGGAAGTGGAGAGCCCGGGAAAGAGGGTGCACGGACCCAAGACTGGAGGCTCGCACACCGAGACCAAGCGGCTCGAGGTGTGAAAGCAGACCCTGACCCTCCCCGACAGCAGACCTGATGAGCACTGTCACCAGTCCTGCGCACTCCAGCGACCCTCGGGTGGGTTTCTGCGTGGACCTGGGTAGGATCCTTGTGGCGGTACACGAGCTGAGAGTGGGTTCAGAAGCCAGCCTGCAGTTGGCTCACCCACCTCGCACCTCTCCTTTGGAAGGAAAAAAAAAATTAAAGACCCAAACTTCCCCGTCTTCCTGTCTGATTCAGCTTCAGGACACGCCTCACCCGGCCGAAAATAGCCCTGGAAACGCATTTGCTTTTTAAAAGTGAATTTGCTAGTAAGATCTAGGGGGGAAGGGGGGAGCGCGTCGGGTCGCGGCGTCGGGGGTCCTGGTTCCTCCCCGGGGCGCCCCCGGGAGGGGACAGCGGGGCGACGGAACCACGCCTCTGGTTGGGGAGCCACCACGCGGCTTTTTCGCGGAATTTTGACGTCACCCACATGTGGGGGAAGGGGCTGGGAGAGCGAGAGGAAACGGCGGGGGAGGGGGGCGGCGCGGCCCGTAGCCCGGTGGCCGCCCAGCCGCGGACAGGGTCCCAGGTCCTTAAGCACACGCTGGGTGCGGCGGTCAGAGTTGCACCCTGGCCGCAAAGCTTGGGTGGCTCCCTGCTCCCAGCCTTCCTCCATTCCCAAAGACTCTCCCCACCACCTTCCACCCTTATTTTTATTTTTATTATTTTTATTTTTTTTACTTTGAAATCGAGATCCGATCTTTGCTCCAGAAAAAGCTAGTTTCTTTGGTTTGCGGTCCAGTTCTTCTAGTCCCTGAGATCCGACCGAGTATCGCGATTGCTGCTGGCAGCTGCCAGCCCGGGGCTTCCTAAGGCTGTCTCCACCCGGGAAGACGAACTTGTGTCTTTCTACTCTTTGGGAACAGAGCTCTGTGTTTACTTTCACACGCGGGATTTTTCCACGCGCGACCGATTCCTCTCTGCCTCACTCCACATTCCATTTAAACATCCTTTGAATCGGTTAGTGTGGACGGTGGCACACGGAAGCGTGGAAACATTCACCCACGGGTTTTGCTGCACCCACCGCTAACCTATCTATAAACACGCCCGTGAGAAGCACAGAGAGCCGAGCGAAAGTGCAGGGCCACTCCCCGCCCACTCACTGGAGACCCACATGGCATCCGTACTTGTGGAGAACCTTCTAGAGAGACCTGCAGGGGTTGAAAGCTGCAGGGTGAGCCCACGCGCCTTCATTTCCCCTGAATTTAGGCAAAATCTTTCTAATCTTTCAGTTCAGAGACACGAGAGCTAAAATGTGTCATTATCTTTTGAACCCACAGTAATTAGGATGAGTTGATGCTCACATTCAAGGAGCTATAGTGGGGGTGTTGGGGAGAAAAATACCACCTGGCTCTGACTTTTTTTTTTTCAACTTTACTGA